TGATCGATGCATCCACGACCGGCACGAAACCCAGCCTGCTCCTCGCAGGTCTGCTCCTCACGTGTCATTCTTTTACGTTGGAGCGAACACGACTTAGAATTCCTCACGAGCATATCTCATCTTTGTGCCAACAACTGTGCTCTTTTAAAGCTGAAGCTTGATAAAACATTGCTATACTTAATAATTCAATGCCTATAAAGCAACACAAAACAATGGAAAAACAGCTATACCATGTGGCATTTTGCATTCATATCTATTAACTCCTCTAACAGGAGGGAGCAGATTGAACAACATAGTTTGCTGAGTCACGTGAAAAACTATCGCGAACATCACAATTTCTCAAATCTCTAGTATTTATAAGTCTATGGTATAGCAAAACATCCATATGATACCGAACTAAATCACCAAAGATTTTGGAAATCGAACTTATCAAGCCACAGGAAAATGAAACAATGCGTACCAGCGTAATTTCTGCGATAATTGGGTGAAACCAAATGGTCGCATTACGATCCGAAAAGTATACAGTGATGTTACATGGGTAAGGATAGTGAATTTGGAGGGAAAACGCACCCACTAGGATGGAAAACTGTTTGAGACAAGATATTGCTTATTTCAAAACCAAATACATCTCACAAAAAGTCTGACCTAGTCCGTATGTACACAAACCTGCGATTTTCTGAGAACAAGATCTCAACAGCACACTGGTTTCTTTGTCGTTGTTTGCACAGTTCTGGCGACTGAATAGTCAAAGGACTACTATGTGACCGATCGATCACGATCAGTCAATCACGCATCAAAAATGATCATCAGTCAAAAAACAAAGTGAACTACACTGAGAATTGATCTTTCTTACGCATGTTCGTCTAGCTTGGAAATTCGGTTACCAAACATTTCATTACCAGTCAAGGCGGTGGTGGCGCAATCGTTTAGTCGCTATCACCGGCGTGCTTTGGACCCCATGGTCCGAGCCCCGCCACCGCCACCCAACTTTGGTGGTAGGCAGCTCTGCTGTCGTCCGGTTAAATACCACGCCTAACCTATCGGGGCCTTATGTTGTTCGCCACTCTAAGTCCCGGGGATTAGGTTTCCGGTTACTATCACTGAACAGAAGGTCCTCGTGACTACGGGGTTCGCCCCGTATGCTGTTCAACACACTTAGGTGTGCAATAAATAGAAGTGACATTTTCAATGCATCCGTAGTGCAATTTACAGGTGAAAATAAATTCAAAGAACCCGGGCTGCAAGGACCAATTATCAATGGGCACTATCGCAAAATACCTGGTGGTTCCGGTCGGAAAATATCTCAGCATGATAATGTTTGTCTTGCAGCATCAGTTTGACAATAGTTAGTGATTGAACAAGCTGAGATAGGCAGTTCTTAAACTCACCGGACAAGTTCAAAAATAAACTCCAGTGGTTCCGGCTTCATCATCAATTCATCCAAATCGGGGTATCCCAGTCCGCCTTGTTGTTGCAAGCCCATCAAACCACAGCAGTGTTTTACAGCATTGCCCTTTTTGTCCATCATGTAGTCCCGTAACTTTTTATTCACTGCCGGGAAGGCGCCCAATCTTTCAACCGGAACCGTGAACGAAGATACTTCGCCGGGAAGCATGGTACCTAAACAGTGTTCCCAAAACTGAATGAAAAACAAACAGAGGTAAAAATACAATGCACGAGAGTTACTAATTCAGTCAGACAGTTAGTCAAGTCAAGCGTTTGCTTTATACACCCCGAAAGGTGGGTTTTCAGCAGCTACAGAGTCAACCAACAATTATCGAACAAAATTATAGCAGAATTGTGGTGATCAAGGAGAAAAGAAAACAATTTACGATATGAGTGAGTTAAGTTTCGAGGCCCTGCATTCTGCGTTGACAAGGAATCAGGCAAGATAAGGCACCACAGAAGACCGATAGGTCGTACGAGCAAATATACAGTCATAGCGGGACCGGGTGGAAGAGGATGACACACACTTAATAAGATCTGGATGTAACGCATGTGAAAGGTTGTCAACGGTTTCTGTTGATAACGAAAAGCATGACTTTGTATGTTGGGAAATGATGAAGTGACACAGAGTTTAACGGGAAATCCCGAAACTTCTTGATAAATGTGTTAAAGAACTGGAAAGCAATTTAAAGTTCTGCTTGAACATCCCTGGAAAGACTACAGGGGACACGTACAACCATAGCGGAAAACACAAGCAAAAAGAAAACGGTTAATCAAGAAGCGAGGAACGGAGCGTTTTCAGACGTAAGACATAAAATTATAATTTCCTGACTTTCCCAAATATAGAAATAACTTGGTCAAACAATCATAAATTTTGGCTTACTAACATACAAAGATACCTAAAATTAAGGGGTTGGATAATAGTATTATCGCGTATGTTCAACGTGGGAAACGAGTCCAAGAGATCAGCATAACGAATCCTCCTGTGAAGTGAGAACAGCATGTCTATGCATTTAGAGGGACTGAGAGTTAATTTATCGTCAGTGGACCACTCAGCAAGGTTAGTAAGGCCAAGCTCGGGAGAGCAGAGCTGTATGCTACCGAGCGCGTCCCCAGGTCGCGGAACGGCCGTCAACTAGCAGCTAACCATGAATAAGGCGGGCGTCGGCCCTCCGAANCCCTCCGAATAAGCGGTCGCGGACGATCAGCGGCAGCGTTCGAGGATGTGGTGGGTTCAACTCCTGGCAAGGGTTCTCAGCAGAAAACACCACAAATATCTATGGACAGCGCCGTGACGTGGCGAGTATGGCCCGCCACTAAATATGGCCATAGCCCCTTGTCGAGTTTCTTTGCCCGACAAAATTTTCCAGAAGAGGCCAATGAACAGAAAACCGGTCACCGGCTCATCTGGAACATCACTGCTGCGTTGTACTCCGCACTTGGTTGCGAAAAGGGGTAGAGTGCATCCTCGAACAAGGCCTACTCTGGACTGGGTGACCGAGTAGTACAACAGCCCACAACGCAGACAACTATGAACTTTCTTGCTCTCATGATATCGCACTCTAAACCTTCAACAATCGAACGATTTTCTACACCGTACACACCCTTTTGTCCTCCCAGCCTTCCCCAACCTCACCTCTACCCTCGCAACTCTATTCCATCTCTATCGGATACCTCAGACGATCGTAATAGCAGTAGTGCCTCAGGCGTAAATTCTGCCGCTGTTCGCTTTTGTCCTACTTCGACTGCTGTCGAAGCCTCGCCGAATCCTCCACCAGTTGAAGCCCTTCTCCGCCTCGACGTCCTTCAAACTAGCCACGTTTAATGCGCGTACCCTGATGCGTATGGAAAACAGGCATGTTTAGCTCGTACGCTCGAAACCCTAGCCATCGATGTGTGTTGCGCCCAACCAAAACTCGCATTCAAGACTTCAGCTCCATTATCCGATTGACGTCCCCATCTAACTAATCTGTAAAGTTTTGTAGTGGCCATGATTGTACGAAGAAAAGGAGCAATCCACGAGGACGTTTTCCGTTCATA